GCAGTGAAGATGAAGAAGAAGATGATGTATTCTCCCAGCGCCCTTTTATACTATGGTTGCGCCGGTAGTGATCTCATAGGCTGTCACTGGCCAATGTTATTGTCGTGTTTACACATGTGCTTCAGACACCTGTCAGCGTTGAAGGTGTTTGTTGTAGCTGCATGTATGAGAATTTAGATTTCATATTCACACACTGGGAACCAGTCTGAGATCATGAACAAGATCACTGTCTAACCCCCTAAAACTGATGCAAACTGAACAAACACTGATTTTCAGAAAGCATTTGGATTTTTATTTGGACACATAGTGTTTGACTTCTGGAGCTACCAATGTGAAACCTTTGAGATTTTTCTCACTGAGATTCATGCAGTGTGTTACAGTTTATCAGGAACCAAGCAATGATTGTATTTGCATATCACATGATGACATCAGGAGCAATGAACTTGTAATGAGGTTCACCTGGAGACATCACAACTCTCAACATGAACCATACATTACTTATTTAGAGAGATGGATTTCACATCGCAGATGTGGATTACCAGCTCTGCTTTGCTAATGTCATAGAATTTTTATGATAAGTTTCAATCACAAAGGCTTGATCAGACAATACCAGTACACAAATGTGCAGTGTGTAATTTCTGCTATGTCAGCTGCACCAAACAGTTGTGGTTGTGTTCCATGATGTCACTCTGAACGCAGTGGTTGATTGTGTGTGTGTTTGTGTGTTGCAGGTTGGAGATGTCGTGGTGTGAAGGTTCTGGAGGCAAGATGACTTTGGTCAAGTTGCTCCTCTCCTTAATGCTGCTACACACACTTTCTGAAGGTAACGTCACACTCTCTCACACACGGTTTCTCTCTTTGTTTCTCCATGTGGAGCTAGATTTCCATGCATCATACAAAATCAAACTGTTCGAGGGTGAGTATTCTAGTATGTGTATGAATAAATGTATCTAATAAATTGTCAAGCTGATTTGACAATCAAACAATCAGCGGCAATCCAAAATCACCTTAGATAAACGGCAAAAGTCAACAGGCTTTTCAAAATCCAAAATATTGCCAAACAGGCGCTTTTGCATTTCGTTTAGAAACTAAATCATCCATGATCGTCTTGTCTGTCTCACCTCACCTCACTCTTCTTGTCAGACAGCTCGACTCACTCTACTCACTGGAGAAATGAAATCTGATCTGTGATGCGACTGTCGTTCGGCACGCTGCATTGAGCAGCCGCGTTCAGTTTTTAATTGTAGTGTCTGTTCTTTTACTGAACTAAATGATTTTTATTACTATAAAAAATCAAAACGACGGTGGGGGGCGCTGCCGCGGTGGGCAAGTGACGTAACCGGTGTTGCGGCTTAACACCGGTATCACCGTCAGCACCGTCTATCGCGGCAAGCTGTCTTTGAATGCGGGAACACATCCATGTCTGAGCTAAATTGCTAGTTAAGCATTAATGTGTTAATTTTAATAAATCTTTCATAAGTAATGATACAAAATTAATGTGTTAAATTGACCCTTATTAAAAGTGAATGTAAAAATATTTGAAGAAGCTGGTTTAATATTATTTTTCGATGTCAAATCAGTGCGAGACATCTACTAGAAGAACAGGACATGTTTTATATGAGCCTGAGGTGACGGCTTGCATCATGAATATTGATGATCTAACAGCAACTGCACAAGCTAATTAATATTCATGAGCCCTGTGACATCACACCCCACCCACTCACGGGTCAAATGTGTCTCTCAGACTTTGAGATTAAAACTCTGATTGTGCTGACAGCGGTCTCTCCTCTGTGTCACTCTCATCTGTTTCTCTCATTTTTCAGCGTGCTCTCATTACCTTCCTGTTGTCCTTCTATCAGCCCGCGAGTCCTGTCTTTTCTCAGACATCTCACTCCATCACTGCTTTCTCGCTCCTGTCTATCATTCCTCACTCTGTGTGTGTGTGTGTTGGACACCTGCAATCTGCGGCGGCACATTTACCAACACAGTGTCGCTGCCACTTAACATCAGCCCACAGGAGTTTATAATTCACTGCCCTCTCCTTCCTCTTCCTGTCTGTGTCCTTTTCTTTTGCTGAACCTCTCTCAATTACACACTCCATCTTTCTTCATGAATCTGCCTCGCTCGCTCTGTCTCTCATAGGTCCTGTGGGAGCTGTTCTCTCATGGTTATTAGCTCTCTGTGATTGGATCAGAGTTTTGAGGGTTAAATGAAATGGAGGTAAATTAGGGAGGGAGTTTGAGCCCTGAACCCCAGAACAACTGGAGACTGAATGTTAAACACTTCACGCTCAAAAGAGAAAGTTTAAAGGAATAGTTCACAAAAAAGGAAATTCAGCCATTATCCAAACTTTTTCATAGTGACCATGACTGTCAAGCTTCCACAAGGACAAAAACTCATCATAAAAGTATCATAAAAATAAACTTTTGCACTATATTCATAGTCTTCTGAAGCCATATGATAGCTTTGTGTGATGGACAGACTGAAATGTATGTCATCATTTGCATTATTCACCTCTTCTAACACATTCTTAAGGCAAATATTGGGTACAGAAACAAAATAATAATAATAACAATAACGATAATAATAATAATAGGAATAAAAATATGAATAATTTTAGCTGGCTTCATTTAGCAAACAGATGTTTCCTTCAGTTATTTTAAGTCAAAAATACAAAAATATCGAGCATATCCCAAAAAACCCAAAGGCCCAGGTGCAGGAACAACGTTACGACCATCAGGTCTTCGTCAGGCACTTCAGTTATTTTCACACTTCATTATACCTGTTAAAATGTATTGTACAAGCTTTTGTTACTTTCACAGTTCATTTTATTGCTCTATGGTATTTCGTCTTTAATTTAATGTTGCATTAGAGCTGCTCCACTACAGCGGCTCAATACTTTTATCACAAAACGTTTTCCTAAAATAATGTAGGGAACCACTTGTTATACATTATACTACTGAGGGCCAGATTTACTAACAGCTTGCACCAGCTCAAACCGTTTTTTGGCGTTATAAATAGCACTGTCAGGATTTACTAAAGATGCATAGTGAAGAATTAGTGCTGAAAAGACGTGGACAGTTATTTTTGTGCCTGATCTTATTGAATATGCATTTGTAGGAGTTTCCCTTTCAGACACAAAATTTATGGGAGGAGAATATACAAATGAATCATGCAACGCGGTTTACTAACATTTGCGCTTTTCAAATTAGTGGTATTTGCGCCATTATTTAATGCTCCAAAAAGCATGTGTTGAAGCAGACACTAATTTGCATTGCTCTTGATAGATTGAGTTGGTCATTATGGAAATGATCTGGCTGCGTCGGTGTTCTTTAATTTGCACATTGTCAGTAAATCACCCACAGAAATTTCCACTCCCATTAGCGCTTTTTTGGAATTGCGCTCTCATGCTAATTTGCCCTGTTTAGTAAATCTGGCCTTAAGCATGTACTATTTTGGTGACGAAATTTGCGTCATGGGCACTGTACGCGGACCCTCGCGTACGAGTAAAAACCGAAGTATACTTTGACCTTTAAAGCAAGCAAAACATGCGCATCTCTCGCACACATTTGTATTGGTGCAGAATTAGAGAACCTAGCGCATTTCACACAGGCTGCTAGATTCACTTTCTCTTTTAATAAAGTCGTGTATGCTTGACGCTTAAAATAAATGTTGTTTATAATGAATGCCCCTATAATTTTTGTTTGTTTTATATTTGCGATTTAGTTTTAATCCAAATGCATGTGCTAAAAGAGCAAACAGCAATTAAGATCATACAACAGAAGTGTTCTCTCTCTCGCTCTCTCTCTCTCTTGCTCTCCATACCTTCAAATAACTTTAGGAACTTGTGCATTGTTTACTTACTTGCTTTTGATGTATCCCAGCGAACAACAAAGTTTCCAGTTACGTCTGTGAAAAAGGGATATTTGCTTGACAAGCTCACGCATCTGTGCTGCCGCACACTCAACTCGGCGTGCTCTGCTTATCAGCTTGTGCATATCAGCTATACAGGCGTGAATATTGAATGTTTAACATTAGCTATATTAATTACTTACATGTACTTCATAGACATCCTTAATCTCTAATAACTCCATTCTACTCTCTGTTGTTCTGTTGTCGATGATTCTTTATCTGGACACAGCACTGTTTACATGCTGTGTGGTATCGGCTTTTGGTATCGGAGCATTTTATTACGAGTACAGGAGCGCAGTATTGGGCCTGATACCCGTGCATCACTAGTTATTTTTAAAAGTAATGAATTACAAAATTGCATTACTTCTTAAAAAAGTAACTAATTACATTACTTAGTAGGGATGCACGATATTGGATTTTTGCCGATAATTTTCAACTCAATTTGGCCAATAGCCGATGCAGATACCGATATATAATTACTTTTAATTTTGGTTCGTTTTTAACAAGAACTTATTTGTTAGAATTAAATAAACAATGATTAAGTTATTTTATAATGACAGTACATTGAATTCTTGAAAATAAATATAAATAAACTATATATTAATATATTAAGGTAACCTTAACATTTTATTTTATGATTTAACATTTGTAAATGGAATAAAGCAAATAAGTTGTAAAAATTCTGAAAATCATTTAGAGCTCATAATTTGTTTAAAAAATATAACACATGATATTACAATATTACACATGATTACACATAATAAATAAATCAGTATATATACAATTATTTAATTTAAGTGTAAGTTGTATTACTGCTTTATTTAATCGGAAACACAGTCTAAATATTTGTGTATTTTGCTTTCATTTTTTTAGAAGTAGGCCAACAGCATCCCCTGTGTTTTAAAACTCCTTACCGGACGGGCATTAGGACCCAGGGGAGGCTGCTGCCACTGCACATGCTATTACTATTTACTCTATCACACACCGAACGCTTCATTTTGTACCTGAATTCTCAGTTTAAATGCAACGATCCAAAACAGTGAATCCACTTACCATTCAGGCAAAATTTTGCTTCAAGAATGAGCCACAATGCTGACGCGATCTAATCGCTAGCACACCCTGAGCACATGTGAGTTAATGTATTCCTCTTACTGGCAAGACATATCGGCATCATTTTTCATATCGGGCCGATGCCGATATTTACATTTAAAGCCATTATCGTCCGATTCCGATATTGGTCCGATAATATTGTGCATCCCTATTACTTAGTTACTTTTTATGTAAAGTAATGCATTGTTACTTTTGTGTTACTTTTTCTCATCTGGGCTGGGCTTTCTTGTTTTTAATATAGAACATTTCTGTTTGTGGCAAATGTAAAAGTCAACTGGTATTACTTATTTGAAAAAGTAACTCAGATATTTTCTTGTAAATTAAAGAGTAATGTAACTTAACCAGTTACTTGAAAAAAGTAATCTGATTACATAACTTGTGTTACTTGTAATGCATGTACCCTCAACACTGGTGGCTAATTCTTATTAATTTGTATAATCTGTTTATGCTCATTATTGTAACGAATCAGCTCATGGGAAATATGAATAATTAATATTGTTAATTATAAATAATTAACTATGAATATTTTAGATCCGCTGTAGATATTTAGCTGACCTCTCAGGGTCAACTGTCTTGTCAATTCTAAGAACGTTAATTTCCTGGTTAAGGGAAATAACTTCCTTATTGTACAATTCTACAAAAGCTTGTAGCATAAATCTGCATGATTAAGTGACTCCAGTTATGAGCAAACAATGAACCACGTCAAGTGTGATACAAGTAAGGTTTTATTAACTACATAAACACTTAAACTAGTCTAACATACTACATAAACACATAAACTGGTCTAACATACACATACACACACACACACACACACACACACATACAGTTGGTATAGGAAAGGGTTAAAGCTTAACCCTTTAAAGAGAAGAGAAAATAAGAACATGAAGTTATTGAAACATTTGCAAATTCAGCAGATCTACACCTGAGGGAAACGTCAGATTCTTAGTTCAAACACACCTTGGTAAAAGATCCATCGTAAATGTATCTGGTGTCAGTGTTGCTATGGAACCAGGGGCCTGTTCGGCTTCCTGGGGTGTTACAGAGTATTTGTTAAATCTAGCTAACAAAATATATATTGTGTGTTTGAGTGGTCCAGATGCTACATTATTATGAAATTATTCTAATATGCTGATTTGGTGGTCAAGAAACATTTATTATTACTATCAATGCTGAATACGGTTGTACTGCTTAATATTTTTTGTGAAAACTGTTATGTATGTATTATGTATAATGCATGTACCCTCAACACTGGTGGCTAATTTGTATTAATTTGTATAATCTGTTTATGCTCTACTGACATTTAAGTTTAGAGATGGAACTTAATAATAATTCCTTTTGTGTTCCTCAAAAAATAGAATAAAAATAAAATAAAATAAAATAAAATAAAATAATAAAATAACAAACTAACTAAATAAATATGGAAAACTGGAAAAAAGAAGGGAAGGGATTTTCATTTTTTAGATTTTGTAGTTTTTGCTTAACTGCAAATTTAAAGGTAGTGTAAGAGGTGAGCTGTCTTCATGAAAAATGATGGTGTCTGTGAAAAGAGCTGATATGACGTAAGGTTCTGTCTGACCTGTTCACTCAAAAGACCCTCAGTCAATGTCAATGGGAAAACATAAGCTATCAAGCCTGTTTCACAAATCCTGGGTCTGCAGCAGTGTAAGCAGCATAACTGCAGCCACGGGCATTTGTAGAGCTTTCATTAAAACACAGAGTTTTTCTTTGATAATGGCTATGAATTCTAAAATTGTCAAGAACAGAGAGCTTTTTTAACCCCCAAAGTGTAAGCTAAACTTTATTGTAACGAATGTGTTGATAAATTGGTTTAAACTGGTGCATTTTGACAATTTTCTTTAATCATTATGTGAAGTACAACCAAACTTGGCTCAGCAAGAAAAGCATTGCTGATTCAGATGTGCTTTTATGCATTTCTGCCTCTGTATACTGCCAACAAAGGCAGTATTTTATATGTTTTGCACACAGCCATAAGCGCTGAAATAAATACACACGTCGCTTACATTTTGCCACCACTGGATGTGTGAAACAGGCTTTAGTCTTAAGTGTGAAAATTCAATTAAATCACATTCATTTTTAGTATTCATTACATTTTAATTTAAATGCATTGGGCTCAAAGAAAATTTCATTAAGCTACAATAATGATATGATTATTAATTTTATCATGACTGTGCTGAAGCCGGGACAGATGTGACAGGCTTCGCTTTTGTTTGGAGCTCTCATTAAATATGTGATCCAGTTTGTCGCACACCTAAAACTTGTTTTAATCTCTGCTGCCATTCTGTAATAGTTCAGTAATTAACACGGGCTGACGTGCTACTCTTGATTGATTCTAGTTAGTGCATATTGGCGGATGCACAGTTGATGGCTCTCGTTTCTTGTTTGGCATCTTCCACTCTTTCTCTCTCTCTCTGGTTTGCTCTTGCTGTGTTCAAAGCGGAGTCAAAAAGTGATTCACCCTATCAGACACCAGCACTTCAAACACACACAAGCCGTTTCTGGAGTGTGTGTTGTCTCTGTGGCCCACTACCCATGCACACGATCAAAGCTCTCCTGATCTTTCTGACAAATCAGCTTGTCTCCTGCTACCCCTGGAAAGAGAACACACACATACGCGTATATACACTGGGGAAACATGTCTCGCACACAACAAGCGTAGATGGGGAAGTTTACATGTCAGAGCATAGTGTGTAGTAGTGAAATATAGAGTGCTCATGTAGGGGTTTTGTATGTAAACATTTTTTTTAATGTTTGATTTATAAAATTTAAAAGTACATTTATATATTTAAAATATGATTACATATATTTTAGTGCTGTCAAATCGATTAATTGTGATCAATCACACCCAAAATAAAAGTTTGTGTTTACATAATATATGTGTGTGTAGTGTGTATATTTATCTGTATATATGTATAAATACACCCATATACATGGATGCATTTAAGAAATATATGTAATATCTATTTATATATTTATTTTTGACATAACTAATATATTTAAATATTTATTAGACAAAAATGTGTGACACACACACACACACACACACACACATATATATATATATAAATATATACTGTATATATTAAAAGTTTGGGGTTGGTAAGATTTTCTTTTTTTAATGTTTTGAAGGATGTATCTTATGCTCACCAAGTCTGTATTTATTTGATCACAAATTCAGCAAACAATAATTTTATGAAACATTGCATTTTAAAAGAACTGTTTTCCTTTTTTTTTTTCATTATAATTTAAAATTTAATTTATTCCTGTCATGCATTACTCCAGTCTTCAGTGCCACATGATACTTATCCTTAATAAATTATCCTTATATGCTGATTTGGTGCTCAAGGAACATTTATTATTACTATCAATGCTGAATACAGTTGTACTGCTTAATATTTTTGTGAAAACTTCATAAATATTTTTTGTTGAACAGAAAGTTCAAAAGAACAGCATTTATTTGAAAAAGGAAACCTTTTGTAGCATTATACATATCCTTACTATCACTTTTGATCAAGTTATTGCATCGTTTCTGAATAAAACAATGCATTAACTTGATCAAAAGTGACAGTAAGCATATTTATTGCTTAAAAATAACTTGTTACTTGAAAAACTGAGCTATTGCAAAATGCATTTAAGTTAATAACATTGCTTTTTTTTAGTTAGTACTGCAAAGAACCAGGTTACTGAAGAACCCTATACACAGGTGAATTTTTTTTACTGGAGATACAGTAGTACAAGGAACCTTTGCGGAACATGTTATTTTACTGTAGAAGTGGCTGAGTTATTGTCGTATCTCATGTACACCAAACTCTCACACAACCCTCATATTGACTGGAGTGGCTCCACATTGAGAGTGTTTGCTTGATGTGTTCATCGATGTCATCTGTTTGCTGTCTAATGTAACAGCTGTAACTGTGTGTTTTCTCTTATTAAGACACATGTCTCTGTCTCTCCCTCTCCTCCAGCATCTAATCAGCCTCCTCGTTTCCAGAATTACTTCTTCCAGTCGTACCTGCTTATCTATGAGAACACACCAGTGGGTGAGTGGCTCTCACAAACACACATACACACACACACACACACACACACTGCTCTATCTGTACACACGCTGATGATATGATCTTTCTACACATTCTCACAGATTAATTTATTTTCCAGTTTTCATGATTTTAGTCCGTAAATGCTAAATGGACCATGTTTGGTTTGATTTTCAGATTGTTCAGTTGCTTTTGTTTGTAAACAAAGCAAAAGACACATATTAAAAAATTAATATTATTAACTAGATATGGGCATTATGATTGCAGAGTTAGAGTATATAGTATGAAATAGTTATTTTACTAAGAAAATTTTTTATAGGTACCTTATTTTTTGGATGAAAATGCGAGACCTGTGAACAAAATCAGAAGATTAGTTGCGTAGTCATCTAACAACCAACTGGTTGAATAGTTTATCATGATATTCTTACTTTTTTGTTTGTATAAATATATATATATATATATATATATATATATATATATATATATATATATAATCCCCTGTAAAGCACTGGCACTACAGCCATGCACTTTTCGACATATACATTTTTTTGGCAAGCATTTTCATTTTATAAAGGGCATTAATACCTCATTGCTGTCTATACTTCCCATATCTCCTCTTTCTACACCTCTTCATCCCTTATTCATAGTTTTCCTGTCTTTAGGTCGAAGAGCATGCATGTTTATTTAACCTTGTGACCTCTTGTTATCATAAGCTGCTTTTGTGCTCTTATGTGACCCTCAGTCTGCAGTTTGCCTCTCTGTTTCTTATTTGCTTCTGTTTTTAACCTCTCAGTTGTTATGGACTGAATGATAAACACTTTTTTAGAGTTTAAGTATATTTGGAGTAAAGCACTTACGCTGTGTTTTAGGCCTAAAAAGCGGTTTCTCTTTATAAAAAAACTCATAAGGAGTCACCAAGAGTGAAAACATTCAAATACATTGACTTTATATGTTTTTGTCTGCAGTAAGTTTGAAAAACATATACGTTTTTGTGCATTTAGTGCATTATACAAGAAATACAGATTCAATGTTGTAAACACAACATGCTTTAAGTACTTTGATACTTTTATACTAGACTCGACTCACTATTAATTTCAGTACAGTTTGTCTTAGGCATGTTGTTTAATACTCAAATACAGTAAAAAGTACTTCCTAATAGATTGAAGCATTTTATCAATAGTTATGCATATATTAATCAATATTTCTCTATCGTCCTGTATATTTTAAGCTGAAGTGTGTAATTTATTATCTATACAATTATAATTATTAGTGCCACCTGATGGAATTAAAAAACAAATCACACTTTAAAGGGGTCATGAACTGAGAAATCAAAATTCCCTTCATCTTTTGACAGATAAGAGATCATTGTACTATAAAAACATCCTGTAAGTTTCAGAACCCAAAACTTTCTCGTTAGTCTAAAAACAGCTTATACTGAAGCCAATCTGCCAAAACAGATGTCTGTCAAACACACAGCTGTTAGCCAATTATAGCGGTGGGTGTTTATTAGGGTTGGGTATCGAGTGGGTTTTTTACGATACCGGTGCCAAATCGATACTTTTAAAATGGTACCGGTGCCTAAACGGTGCCTGAACCGAGGTGACATATCATGAAAATCTGACTTTTCCAGGTTTTAAGTGCTATAATCAGGTCCCCGGTGCATCTACCAACCAAGGAAACGTGAAAAAGATTAACCTAGTAACTTTGTTTTGGTAAGCCTTTTTCTGCAAGCGTCTGAGAAAACGAGCGAGTCTGATTTGCTCCCTTGGTGACGTGGCAAAGGGATCTCATTATAATATTACCGCCCCTTAATCTGTAAATTTCCACCCACCGCGCCGTCATTTGATTTCGCAAGCGACAACGGTGTACCAGTTCTAACGCCATTGCGAAAGTTTGAGCAAAACATGCTAACTGTTCTGTCTTTGACTGCACAGACGAGCACAGAACACTATTTAGATCTAAAATAAACATGTGATTTATTTCCCAGCAGTTTACCTTCACAGACATAACCGACTGTTTTTGTAACTTTTGTGCGTTTTTAATGTAAAATTGTGTGTGAATAAGAAATTAGTTTAGTACTCACATGCTGTGACAGCCGCTTTCTGTCCGTGTGCTTCGGATGTGTGCGCTCAAAAAAACGTATATCAGAAGTTTAAACTCATATGGTTTAAACCGCATGATTTCAGCGCGATAAACATGATAATCTGAACCAAAACAGCTGTTTTTTAGCAGGTACGAGCTGTAATGGCGCAGCTCTATTCTGGAAAAGGGGGCGGGGAGCAGCAGCTCATTTGCATTTAAAGAGACAGGCCCGAAAAACAGCGTGTTTCTGCTTCCACTCAAAATAGGCATTTTCAAAACGATATTTTAAATGATCTGTGGAGTATTTTGAGCTGAAACTTCACAGACACATTCTGGGGACACCAGAGACTTATATTACATATTGTTAAAATGGGCATAATATGTCTCCTTTAAAAAAAAGAGCCACAAAAATAAACGATGGATAACATTAAAGAACATTACAAATATTTAAAATAAATATACATAGCATTCACATGCTCCTCGGATGCTCTCATTTCCCGAGTTGTGTTTCCCTTACACTAAGGCTAATAAATGTATTTCACGATCTGGGTCATTATTTAATACAAAACAATATTTAGGCTTACACATAATATTTCTAATGTATCTCTGTCAATCACTCTGATATTTAGTTAAAATGAGTGAATTGACTGAGTGCTGTCTGTCACTGTCTTTTAATCAGTTCTGTGAATGACTGTATGGTATGCCACATGCACTGTAATATGTTTTACATTAAATATTAAATTTTCAAATGAAAATAGCAACATGATCGTTTTATAAAGTATATGTTCATATGTGTTAAGGGCTAGATTTTGGAGGAAACAGCTGTGGTGTGATGAGGGGTGAACGCAGCGAAAACTTTACAGTAGATGGGAAACCGATTGCTCCCTAATTTCCTTTTGTAAACTGCATTTATGACAAAGAACAGCACAGATACAGATATTATAACAATCTATCGATAAACACATGCCTTGTGTCCTCTGTTTCTGTTTGAGTCTGCTCGTGCTGCGCTGCCGCGGGTCTTCAGATTGAAGAGCGTGCTGAAAGAGGGGAGGAGACTAAGTCTGCTGACGTTTTCATATGAAATTTAAAGGGGACTGACAGTTTATGGAGCTAATCGCTATAATCGCTATAGCTAAAAATGGCCTAGCGATGCCCATGCTTCTTACGTCCATTTCAGAGAACCAGGACAAATATTTCAATCGATCGCTCAGGCATTTAAGTGGCACCGAAATGAGGCACACCGAAATCTGCGTTCTGATTCGGTTCTAGTACATACCGGTTACATAGGTACCGGTACCATATTGGCAGCGGGTTTCGGTACCCAACCCTAGTGTTTACTTCTGAGTCTACAATCCACCACGCCTATTCAAACAGAGCGCTCTGATGAGGGGCGTCAAAACAGGACAGGAAATAGCCTATTACTTCTAAATTATGTTTTTTGATGTATAATCTTGATAACTTTATAAGTGGACCTCAGAGAACAATACAAAATAAAAAAGGCAGTTCATGACCCCTTGAAATATTTCCCTCAAAGCCATAAAAAGACGAGGATAGTGTCAGCAAAACAATCCTCTGTGATATTACATCATAGACAAAGGAGAGAAGAACATGATTGCAGCAAAATTAGGAATACACTTTTCTGGCGTGTTGTATAGTTGGTTTAGATTTAACTCTGTGTCTGGTCTCAAGCAGTGTTTTACTCTAACGGTCTCTGTCTTTAAGTTTCTGTCTGTGCCTGTATGTATTTCAGCATTTTTAGGGACTCCGATGATTGACAGGGCAATTTGAGAGTGTCAGGGTTTTCATCACCTTGCCGCGTGTTGTCGTGAGTTGGTTTTAAAATAGATCTATCGGGCCCTTTCACTGATAGGAGGCTCTCTGAACTGCAAATACACTTATACCTCACTTATCCATAAAATCTCAGAATTCTGCCATCCAACCCATTTTACCAGAACATTCTGCAAGCAAGCAGTGTATGTGTTTAGATGTGTTTCAGGAGAGCTCACTACTGTGCCTCTGATACATTTAAACACATTGTTTCTTTCTTTAACTATGGACACTTTTGCCCATTTTTTTTTTAGGAAAAAAATCTCTTAAAACACTTTTCACACTCTTACTAGTTTATTTAATTTGTCTATTAACAGTGTCTGAAAGTGTATAAACTTGGTCTTAGGTCAGTAAGATTATTATTATTATTATTTTTAAAGAAATTAATACTTTTATTCAGCAGGAATGCATTAAATTGATCAAAGTGAAAGTTAAGACATTTATAATGCATTTATAAAAAATATAAAAATATATTCAAGTAGTAAACAGTTATTTTAAATTGTAATAATATTTACATTTGATCCGAAGCGACTTACAAATGAGGACAATAGAAGCAATCAAACCAACAAAAGAGCAACAATATATGAGTGCTGTGACAAGTCTCAGTTAGTCTAATGCAGTAAACGTAGCAATGTTTTTTTCTTATTAAATAAAAATTATAAAAATTAGAAAGAAAAGAAATAGAATATAGAGTGCTCGTGTTAGAGGGTCAAGGCTTTTTTTATTTAGTAAATATAAACATAGAATAGAGGGTGCTAGAGGGTCAAGTTTTTATATATTATAAATAAAAGAAAACAAGTAAATAGAATAGACATAGAATAGAGAGTGCTAGTGTAAGAGGGTCAAGTGTAGATGGAATATTATTTCACAATATTAATATTTTACTGTATATTTTAGCCTTGATGAGAATAAGAGACTTCTTTAAAAATGTAATAAAATCATTAAATTTATTTAAAAAATAATACCAACTTCAAACTTTTGAGCCACTTTTTTTGTAGTGTGCATAATGTACATGATAAATTATGGTTTAATATAATTACATTATATATTTACATCATATAACAGCATTCTGTGATGGAAATGATGGTGGTAGA